CTTCGCCTGCTCTTCTCCTCCTCCTCCTCCTCCGCCACTTATTCCTCCACCTTCTCCGCCTCCTCCTCCTCGCGCCGCCCCCCTCTCCGGGCGACGTCGCCGCCGAAGTGGGTCAAGGAGCTCGTCGGGGACAGGCTGCAGGCGCGGGGGCAGCGCGAGGCCGAGGCGGCGACGCAGGACGCTGGGCACAGGAATAACAAGGGCGCGAGGAGCAGGAGGAGGAGGAGGAGGAGGAGGAGGAGGAGGGGGAGGACGAGGAGGAGGAGGAGGGGGAGGGGGGGGGCAGGGGGGGGAGGAGGAGGAGGGGGAGGAGGAGGAGGAGGAGGAGGAGGAGGAAGGGACAGGAGGAGGACAAGGACAAGGACGAGGGAAAGATGATAGGGGGCGAGACGAATAACGAGAAGAAGGAAGTAAGGACGAGGAGAAGGAAGAAATGAGGATAACATAGGAGAAGGGATCAGAAGGAGGAGAGGGAAGAGATGGGGAAACGATGGGAATCAGGAAGAGATAAAGACTAATATGGCGGATGCTGCGGATGTGGTGAGCGAGGAGAGGACCTGGAGGAGAAGGGGATGAGAGGGGGGATAACGAGGGAGGAGGAGAGGGATGAGGTATTCGCCATCCGTTCCCATCGGCGCTCGCCGATTGGTAGGTACCCCCGACGCGTTTCGACGCGTTTGAAACGCGTTTGAAACTCGCCGAACGCCGTGTCCAACGCGTTTAGAACGCGTTGGACGCGGCGTTCGGCGAGTTTCATCGGGGACGGCGTTCGCTCGGACTCGATTCGCGTCGGGCTTTCTGCTCGCATCAGGACGAGGCAGAGGCTGCCCACGAGGCAGAGGCTGCCCTCGCGCAGCAGCCGGCGGCGGCGCCCGCGGCGGCGCCAGCGGCGGCGCCGGCGGCGGCGCCCGCGGCGGCGCCCGCGGCGGCGCCCGCGGCGGGGGACGTCGTGCCGCAGGCCACGCTCGACAGGTGGCACCTCGGGTTCGTCGCGGGGACGAAGGCTGGAATGAGGAGGGCGCAGCAGGGTAACAGGTGGAGGATCGGAGAAACTGCCAGGAGAGGAGGAGGATGGGGGTGCACGAAGAGCAACGGTTAGGAAGGAAGCAGGAGGAGAAGGAGGGGGAGACGATGCAAGGCATGAGTCAAGGAGAAGGAGCAGGAACATAATGGGGTGGAGGAGAGGGAGGAGGAGGAGGATGAGGGGGAGGAGGAGGTGGAGGAGGAGGGAGAGGAGGAGGAGGAGGACGATGATGTTTTTGATCTCCGCCAGTCTGCTCGGCGCTGCGACGAGAAGCTCGGAGTGCCGAAGGCCAGGGACCTGCAGATCACAGCGGTGCAGAACAAGGACGGCATCATGACAGCAGCGTGGGCCGATGGCTACACGTGGCTAGTGCCGCGTGATTCGGCGCAGGCCGAGGCGGGGGAGTTCAAGGGCGCCAAGGCCTGCGACAAGATTTGGGGCTCCTCGGATGGCAAGTGCATCGCAACCGTTGTGAAACACACGAGTAAGCCGCCGTGGCTTGCCATCTTCCACGCTCTCCCCGAGGGGCGGGAGCAGATCGCCCAGATGGCTGGCACCTTCGACTGGCAGCAGGGCTGCGACCTCACGGCGAAGTTGGCGGAGCAGTACTTCAGCGGGGCGCTCGCGAAGGAGCAGGTCGAGGACGAGAAGAAGCGCTTCCTCGACAGGGCGCGGAAGGCTGCCGCGCTTGAGGAGTCGCGCAAGGAGGCGCCCGAGGGCGGCGCGGCCGCGGGCGCGGAGAGCAAGCTGAAGCAGACGGGGAAGCGGCCACCAGAGTCCTGCGCCGAGCAGCAGCTGCCTGCGGCCGCGGCGGCGCCAACGGAGAAGCAGAAGAAGTCCAAGGGTGCCGCAGCGGCAGCAGCTCCACAGGCGGCTGGGCCAGCAGTCGCGAGCGAGACGGCGCCAGTGGCAGCGGCGATGGCGGGGGCGGCGGCTTCTTCCTCGAGCGGCCCGCTGGGCGGTCAGCCCGAGGTGGACATGACGCCCCCCGCGAAGATCAAGGGCGAGGCTGCGGAGACGTTGCGCGAGAAGGAGCTCAGGTACAGCTTGAATCACCCTGGGGATTGGCCAGCTCCGACGTGCCCGCACCACAGGGACTTCGCCGAGGTGGCGAACACGTTCAACGTGGGCCGCACCCCTCAGATCTTCGAGCCGGTGTCCGATTCCACGCTCTCGCGGATCTTCAGCTGATCGAGGAGTTCTTGGATGCGGACATGTTCAGGGAGCCTGCAGACTGCATCGCGTCCCAGCACAGGCTGGGCTGGGCTTGTTTGGAAGATCTCGAGGGGGAGATCTCGGCGTCTTGAGCTGAAATTGATGTCGTGATGCGTCGTCTTCGGATGTCTGCACTCGGACTGCTGCTTCAATCCTCCTCTTCCACGCTGCTTGCTTCTCCGATGTTAGCAAGTTCGCTGCCCTGCTCCCTCTTCATCGTGCTATCAGCTTTCATATCCTAGTATCCTCGTCTGCCCTCGCTCACTCATGCTGGCGCCATGCGTCGTCCTCGCCGCGCCTCCCTCCCTCATGGCGTTCACCCCCCGTCGTCGTCCTTCTTCCTCCTACTCCCCCCCCCCCCCCAGTCCTGAGTCGCGTTTCATGGCAGGCCATTCAGGGGAACGATCGAAGCTTCAGGGTTTCAGATGATCGAAATCAATCGGGATCAGAGTTCACCCAGAGCTCGCATCCGCCCCTGAGGCCCACCCCGCAGGGCCCCGCAGCGCATGCGGCAGCGCCCTCCTTCACCGCGTCCTCGGGCGGCGGTGGCAGCAATGGCTTTGGACCTGGGGCCCGTCCATCGCATTCCGCACCGACGAAAGTCATGGCATGCTCATCAGACCCAGCCCCCCCGTAAAACCAACGATTCGGTTCCCCCCAGAGCACGCAGGAAACCGTCTTCGCTTTACTGGTCCAAGCTACTGGCATACCAGTTCCGGTCGGGCCCTCTTTCGCACAGACCAGCTCGGGAGCTGAGCTAGCATGAGCGCGCAGCCCGACTTCGCAGAGGACGGCGCCACCCAGCCGACTGGCGCCTATGATATTGGCACTCATGTGGGCTCGGCAGAAAGCATCTCGAACACGGAGGCGGGGTTCCTGAAGAAAATCCACATGGAGGCCATGGAGCGTCGCGCTGCTCTCCCGGGTCCGTCTGGCTTTTCGCTCGCGCAGGGGGCCCACCTCAGCGGTGTCATCGACTTGTCGTCCGACTCCGAACCCGATGGCGACGGGGGCCAGCCGTCAGCGCTCACGCCGCCGAAGCTCGAGGCCGTGCCAGACTCCACTCGCAGCCCCGAGATCCCAGCAGAGCAGCCCGACCCCGCGGAGGGGCAACAGGCGCAGCCCGCGGGGGTCGAGGAACCTGAGAACCTGGTGTCCGAAGCTGAGGAGTTGGCCGATACCTCTCGCGGCGAGCTGCCACAGATCGCGGCGCAGGGCGAGGAATCCGATCCTCGGGGCATGCAGGATCGGATCGCCAGGGGACATGAATCCATGCTAGACCTCCCCCCCCCTGCAGTGTAGACGCGTTCAATTTTACAGAGCGTCGTCGAGCACATGGCTGGGGCCAGCTCGATAAACTCGTCAGGATCGGCGATCGGGTCCTCGGGCGGAGAAATGGGATGAATGGATAATGGGGGGGGGGGGCCCAGGAGAAGTGCGAGACGCTGACGGGCTGCCGCCAGCGCGCCGCGCCGCCCGAGACCTCTGCCGAGGCTGCCGTGGGGCTGCAGCAGGACCGCTCGCGGCTAACAAATCGGAGGGGGGTCTGATCGGGCGAATTCGAATTGGGGGGGGGCGGGGGAGGTTGAGAATTGATAGGGGGGCGCGCGAGGACGCGCACACTCAGGAAGGCAGGAAGAGGGAAGCGGACGCGGGGGAGGCCGGTGCACGAGGGGGGAGGCGAGGAAGGGGAGAGGGATGGGGGAAGAAGGGTGGAGGGGGGAATGGGAGGAGCTGGACGAAGGGAGGGGGGGGGGGATGTAGGACGCACGGAGACTGTGGAGGAGCCAGGGGAGGGCGGAGGGGGTGGGTCCATCCCAGGACGCCGACCTCGGCACGATCCCGTACTCGGACGGCGGGCTGCCCGCGGCGCTGCCCGCGGCGCTGCCAGCGGCGCTGCCAGCGGCGACGCCGCGCGCCGAGGGGCCAGCGGCAGGGGCGCCCGCGGCGCAGGAGCCAGCGGTGGAGGTGGATGAGGGAGGACGCGGAGGATCAGAGGACCAGGAGAAGAGGAGGAGGAGGGGGGGAGGGAGGAGGAGGAGGAGAGGATGCCGAAGCGAGAGGACGAACGCTGGCGCGGACGAGGATGAGGAGGAGGAGGAAGAGGAGGAGGAGGAGTAGGAGGAGGAGTAGGAGTAGGAGGAGGAGGAGGAGGAGGAGAGGATGGCACTTGAGGAGGGGCGGCGAGATGGGGCCGAGCGACCGACCCACCGACCGTCAAACCGACCGACCGACTGACCCGCCGACCGACCGACGAATCGACTGACCGAGTGCAGTTCCAAAAAGAGGAGCCGACCAGCTTGGCCAGCGACGGCGAGCCCCCGCCCCAGACGCCTCCCAAGCAACAGAAGAGGCCAGGGGGCAAACTCATTCGGATATGCATGGGCCTTGCGTTGCCTTGCATGCATTCTTCCACGCGCCGTGGCTTGCATGGCATTGCATTGTCGCGGCCGCATTAGATTTGCACAGGCGCATTGCTTCTCGAATCACAAACACACGCACGCGGATTCTAAGAACAAAAGCCGTGGCCGTGGGGAATCCCTGGGGAATCCAGTTCCACCTCCTCCTCCTCCTTCCCCCTCTTCCTTCTCCTCTTCCCCCCGCCTCCTCCTCCTCCTCCCCCTCCTAGGCGGTTGAGCCCGCGGTCCCCAGGCTGCCCAGGACACCCTGGCACCTCCCCTCCATCGCCCTCCGCCCGCCCCGTTTTACATCTCAGAGGTCTGCAGCGGCTGTGCCTGGCGTCGTGAAAAGCGTCGAGGAGATGCTGATGCAGGAAGCCGAGCAAGTCGACGACGTGAGGGCGATGAAGGTCATGGTTGACTTGTACAACACGACGCCCGTGCAGGATATGAGGTCCACGCAGAACCCCCGGGCGCTCGGCGACAGCGACCGCGAGGAGCAGGCGAAGAAGTACAGCAAGAAACAATGGGACAACTACAACTTCTGGAAAAAGATCATGGAGGGCGGGCACGTCGTGAATACGAGTGGCGCGGCTGGCAATCCCGCGGCAGGCCGGTGGGCTCGAGCCGTGGCAGCCGATAAGAACATGTCCAAGCAGTGCGCTGCAAAGAAGGAGGAGGGCCCAGACGCGCTGGCGGCTTTCCGCGCGGAGTGGGCCGAGAAGCAATGGGCCAAGTATTCGCACATGCAGAAGAAGGAGACCAGCTTGGTGAAGAGGAAGCTAAAGAAAGCTTCATACCTGCCGATTGGCAGGGTCGCCTGGCTTGAAGGCGGCGGGAAGCTCGGCTGGATCCAGGCGACTCGCTACTTCACGAAGTGCATTCGCATGGGGCCGCCATGGGTGAAGTTCAACAAGATGACGGAAGTAATCATGCGCTTGTACGGCGAGGAGTCGATCGAGGAGGAGTTCGTTGAGGCGTGGAGCCATCACCAGACGTGGTTCGACGCCGAGGTCTTGAGCGACGGCGAGGCTAAGAGGCAGGCCCAGCAGCAGATGCAGACCGCGCAGGTGGCCGCTGATTTCGCGGCTTCGTTCGCCGTCAACGACGTCACCGTCGCGATGGGGGCCCCGCAGCAGCCGCAGGCAGTGCAGGCCGCAGCAGCAGGAGGCGCGAAGCCAACGACGGGCCTGCAGACGACGCTGGAGGGCCTGGAGGGGCAGGTCGCTGGCGCTGCAGCTGGCTCTTCGGGCCCCGCCCCCGCCCCAGCGGCTGCGGCGGTGGCCGCGGGCGGCGGCCAGGGGGCGGCGGCCCTGCCAGCCGCGGCGGCTTCGGCGGCAGGCGCAGAGGAGGCTGCCCCCGACGGCAAGAGGAAGGGCATCGAGCAGCTGGAGCAGAGCCCAGGCACCAGGAGGAGGATCTCCAGCAAGTCGGCCGACGACAAGGCCAATGAGGCGGCGGTCGAGGAAGCCCCATGCACCCCAGCCGCGGCCGCCCCTGCGTCAACTCCAACGCCCAGCCCCGCGCCTGCTGAGCCCAGCGGCGGCGGAGCCAAGAAGGCCGCGGAAGCCCCTCCCACTGGCGGCGCAGGTACTAAGAGGCGCAAGGTGCAGGGCAGCGGCGGCCCCGGCGGAGGGACCGGGGACGGACGGCGAGAAGCAGCTCTTCAAGGATGCCAAGGCAGCGCTCGCCCTCTTCGGTCAGGCGACGTCGCCTGCAGCGACGCTCCAGAGCCCCATTGAGAGGGGCGACGCCTGGAAGTGGGCGCAAGACGATAAGCATTTCAAGTTGCTGAAGCAGGACCGATGGTTTGAGCCATAAGCTGTCCTCCTGCTCCTCCTCCTCCTCCTCCTCCTCCTCCTCCTCCTCCCTCCTCCCCCTCCTCCCTCCCTCCTCCTCCTCTTCCTCCTCCTTCTCCTTCTCCTCCTCCTCCTCCTCCTCTCCTGCCTCCTCCCCCTCCCTCCTCCCCCCCCCCCTCCTCCTTCTCTTTCCCCCCGCCCCGATTCGCCCTTTCAAGGGCTTCGAAAAATGCGACCACGTCAATGGGGGATTCGATTTGACGTCTCTGTTGGAGGGAGTGGTCAGCCACGGTGAGAGGGCGAGAAGTAGGGGCAGGTGGGGGAGCGCGTCGAGAGGGTGGATGTCGCTATCCCAGTCAGCCCCCCCCCACCCTCTCGGCCCCCATCGGGGCCCCCGAGGTCCGCGATCGATGGAATCCATCACCCTCGACCATTGGTCATCGATTTCGCTTTGTCGCTGCTCCGTCAAGGAGCACAGGGGCATCTCGGACACGGTGTCTTCGTCTGCGGCCCTCCAGCACGGGGTGACTCAGCCGCTGGCATCGCTGAAGAAGAGCATGTCTGCCCTGGAGTACAACTCCACCCTGGTTCAGATCAAGGGCATGACGGGTAAGCTCGAGGCGATGCCCTTGTCCTTCTCATTGTTCTCCTCTGCCATTCTTTGTCCTCCTCCTGCTCGTGCTCCTGCTCCTGTTCCTGCCCCTCCTCTTCCCCCCCATCCCACCCCCCCTCCTCCGCCCCCTTCCGCGCCCTCCAGGAGGAGGGGCCCAGGGGGTAGCCCAGGGGTAAGCCAGGGGGGCGGGGGGGGGCCCAGGGGGGGATTTGGGAGGAGTAGGAGGGCGAGGCGGAGGAGGAGGAGGAGGAGGAGGAGGAGGAGTAGGGGGAGGGGGATGAGGAGGAGGAGAAGGAAGAGGAATAGGAAGAGGAGGAAGAGGAGGAGGATAATGCCCTTCCACCGTTCCTCATTGCACCCCCTCTAATTCCGACCGCCTGCCAGCTGCTGTCGAAGTACCCGAAGCTGCTCACGGGACTCCACAGCGTGCACAACGAGGCTGGCATGCGATGCTAGCTTCACCTTGCTGCTGGTCGTCAATCGATCTGATTGATGGGTGTATGTACACCGCCCTGGGGATGCGCGATCGGCCAACATCGGCTGGCGCTTTGTGCGTTGGAAGAGGTTTATACGATTCTCCAGGTGTTTTTATGATTTCAATGCGTTTTCAACGCGTTTAAACCGCGTTGAACCCACCGTTTGAGGACCGTTGAAACGACCGGTGAAAATGCTTCGGACCCTGTGATTTCACCGGGATCGACCGGTGAAAATGCACTGAATCAGCGCGTTTACACCCCGGTGAAAGTTCCGTTGAAAATGCTTCTTCCAAAAAACCGCTGAGATTTAGGATTTTCTCCGCCGCGAGGCGCGCTAGCAATTTCATGCTGGCTGCGTGCTTGGCGAGCGCTCAGGCCCTTGCTGGAAGCTGGCCGCGCGTGGGCCCATGAGAAAGCCCGCGTGATTCGAGCCCTGGGGCCCGACAGGAAGGCAGGGAAACAATGAGATAGAGCCGACTGCCCGCATGTTGCAGCAGAGCCTCCACTTTGCCTCAATCGGGACTCGGTGAGCGCATCGCTTCTTTCTCACGCTCCAAGAATCTGCCCCCTGCAGCTACTGATGCCGCTGATTCTGCCATCCCTCCTCATGCCCCCCATCGACCCCTGACTCCTTCCACTTCGCTCCCCACGTGCATTGTTACCCCCTCCCCGCTCCATTCTCCCACCAGCCCTGCTCGTCCTACCCCTCGAGGTTTCTGGTCTAATGCGTTCACCGCCCCCGCGTTTTGTCTCGTGGCCGTGGCGCGCCTGTTCGTGGTCACGCATGGTAGAGACGTGTCGCGGCAACCTGTGCTCTGGTGCCGCCTCTGTCGACGCGTAGCAGAAATCGCATGCTCGTTGCAGAATCGCGGGGCATTGATCCAGTTGCCAACCCCGCGCCCAAAACCATTGGACCTCACCCCCCCCCCTCTCCCCCCCCCCGACAGCGCGTTGGCGCGGCGGCGCTCCGCGGCATCGCAGACGCTCGGCTCGAGCGCACCTGCCGGCAGGATCCACCCCCGACCCCTGCTCCTGCCGACGGGTCATGGCACCCAAGGGGGCGCGCCGCCGTCAGAAGTCCAAGCCTCGCCCGGGCCCAAGACGATGGCGCGGGGAGGGCAACGCAGATCAACGACAGGCTGGGGCAGATCTCCTTCGCTGCCTTCTGGAGTGGTATGCTGCGTGTAAGCTTACAGCCCAGCAACTTTGCACGGCGTGCGAGTTCTGCCAGGCAGCTGGGGTCAGGGGTGGGGCATTTGAGCTGTACAAGATGCCCGTGGGAAAGGCCTCGGGTGCTTAACAGAGGCACTTGGACGCAGTGCTGCCTAAACCAGGTATCACTTGGAAGTGCATTGATGACGAGATGAGTTTGAACCCAAGCATCCGCGAAACGCTGGATGCGGACCCAGAGGACCGACGAGAAAACATCTTGGACGTCCCCGCGTATTTCCAACACCCAATCGTCACCGCGGAGATTGCCAGTGGCCGCCCGAAGCCTCTTCCGGTGGGTATCTATCTGGATGGAATCCGATATATGCTTCAGGCGTCAGGGAGACAAGATACAGTCCTGGGGATTTGGCTGATAAGCCTGGTCTCAGGAAAGCGGCACCTTTTATGCTCACAACGGCATTCTGATACTGGCCTCTGCGGGTGTAGGGGGTGGGACTCGCTCTATCCGCTGCTTCTCAGTGTACAGCGGATGTTACGAGCAATGGTAGCTGGCAAAACACAGACAAAATGGCATGATGGCACGAACTGGGAGATGTCGCACCCCTACAGAGCTCAACAAACTTTATCTGTTAAATGTGTTCTGGTTTGGATTCAGGGGGATTGGATGGAGCTCTCGAAATCGTTAGGCATTCCTTCTTGGCAAAGCTATCATAACCCGCGTCAGTTTCGCAGGACACCCAGCTCGGATATCCACGATTACATTGGCAACATTATGGACCCTGAGGGGGTCCCCTGGCTCTTGAGGACTCACGAGGATTACGAGGAGGCCTGCCAAAAGTGCGAGAAGAAGGTCACCATTCGAACTCATGACGAGACGGCCCTGTTGTCGAGGTCAATGCAGTGGCTGAAAGGAGACAAGGGGAGGGG